TTTCACACAAAAACGAGCTGAAAAAACTGGAGTCAAAGATTCTTTTACCTGCTCCGAGTGTGGAAAAAGCTACTCACGTAAACAAGAACTTACGAAACACATGAGAATTCACACCGGAGAGAATCTGTTCACATGCACTCAGTGTGGAAAGGATTTTGTTGACAAAAAAGGCTTGACCAGACACCTAATGGTTCACACTAGAGAAAAACCTTTCAAATGCACTCAGTGTAGAAAGAGTTTCAGAGACAGAAGCGCTCTCAAAGATCACCTGGATTCTCACGCTGGAGTGAAGTCTTTCAGCTGTGATCAGTGTGATAAAACATTTGTTTTGGTATCACACCTAAGAACACACCTTAAAGTTCATGCTGCTGTGAAGCCTCACGTTTGTTCTCTTTGTGGAAAGAGTTTTTCACGACTGCACACATTAAAAGAGCACCAGAATATACATACTGGTATGAAACCTTACATATGTGACTGTGGGAAGAGCTTTACTGCACAAAGTAATTTAATCGAGCACCAGAAGATTCACACTGGAGAGAAACCTCACAAATGCTCACACTGTGGAAAGAGTTTCTTTTACTTAAAATCCTTGAAAGATCATGAGAGAGTTCATACTGGAGAAAAGCCGCACCAGTGCTCTTCATGTGGGAAGAGTTTCGCTCACTTACCTAATCTGCTGATTCACAAGAAAAAGCATTGCCCGAAGATGTATAAGTGAGAAAAGCATTTATGTAACTGGCAACATCAGTCCATTATATATTCACAGATAACTTTTTTTATTTTTTATTTTATTTTATTTTTTAGAAGTGATGCATATTGAAAAGACTCTTACATTTAAATCTGTCACACTGTGAATGTTCATGTGCTGTTATTATCTCTCACAGTCTGTATGAACATATGTAAAAAATCAGTCACATTTGAGCATTTAATTTGCTTTATTATGATGATATCATTTATTCTATCTATTTCCTTTTCATTTTTGTATAATTTGAAATAAAAAGCAACACAAGTATTTACACAACTCATCTAACAAATAAATGTACTTTAGTTTACATTAAATGTTAGAGGTTTAACATCGTATTCATCATTGCTTTATTACTACTCTGTATGTATGCATGTGTA